ACTCTTGTTGATTATTTAGGGCAAAATCGAAATCCCCCTCCGCCTAATTACTTAAGCTATTATCTGGGCGTAATGACAATCTTGTATCATATGGAGGGCTTCATGTAGGAATTTTCCTATCAGAGTCTTCATTTGGTCTGCATTCCTAAGGTAATAGGTAATGGACTTTAACAAGAACTATGACCTTGAAAATAACAGGTAAACTTGTGTACTGAATCGGCATGACTCATAGCTCTTGTCAAAATTCATTACTTCTAACATTTTCATTGATTTCATTACATTACTTTTTTAGGTGTTACTAGCGAAACCTCTACAACCAGCCTTCACTGGTATATCCTATGCCGTATCATCTAGACAGTTTTCATTGGTGTGAAGATAAATAATATAGAACCCATAAAAGAAACGCAATAATGAAATAATACTATAATATTAACAAACATAAGATACATCTACTAGAGCGACTTAAATGTCTCGAAAATCAACTTAAAAAAACGTATAATACACAGATAAATATTAATGTGTAACTGAAGAAATATTAGATGAAATACCTTCAGAATCTTAAGAATATTAACAAAAAATCATATGGACACACTAATAGAATTATTTAATGACATTTATCGAGACTGTACAAACACTAATCGAACGATGTTGAGATGTCAATTGCGACGTATCCATATGTCTAGTCGACTTCAAAAAAGCATACGACACCGAAAAATGTGCAAAAATACTGCAGAACACAGAATTAGAGGACGAAGACGTGAGAATCATTGCCAATCTATACCGATATCAGAAAGCCATAATACGAATAGACCAACAAAAATCGAAAGAAATACCTATAAATCGTGGAGTAAGACAAGGATGTGTGTTTTCCCCTTTACTTTTTAATATGTATTCAGAAGATTTTTTAAAAAAGGCATTGAAAGACGTAATCGAAGGCATATTTATTAACTGAGCACTTCTGAATAATCTTAGATAAGCAAATGACACAATACTCCTTGCGGACAGCGGAGAAGGACCACAGATCTTGGTTTGATCGCATTACCCATACTGCGAAAGGTTATGGAATGGCACTGAATACAAAGAAAACAAAAATCATGGTGGAAAGTAAGAACAAGATTGTGGAAGACAGTGTTTATGCTAAAGGAAAACTTTTAGGCAGGGTGCACAGATAATCAGTACTTAGGTTGCGAACTAAATGAAGACTGGATAGAAGTACGGAAATAAAACGGCGTATTGAAATAGCTAGTGCTTTTAATAAGATGAGAGCAATATTATGTAAGAACAACTAAGCACTATAATAAGAAATGTAGTGTTATCGTAGAATGTGTAAGCTTGTCGTCACACGAATCCTCGACGACTCGCGTTAGAATTTCACACGGCTTTAAATTCTCTAATGTGCGAGAAGTTTTGACCGTGCCACCTCTTTTCTATGACCCTAAACCACTACTTTTTAAGTTCCTAATTCAGGTAGCCTCGTTAGACGGAACTGGAGCGCAAGGCGGCAAATTTCACCATTTTTGTAATGAGCTTTCACAGGAAATGCGCGTTGTTCACCCGACCACTTCTCCATGATAACTAAACCCTAAACCTTCTCCATTGTTTAGATTGACAACGTTTACATCGCAAGCCCGCGGCTTCTCTATGTTTTCACCAGCAGCGTTGCCAAATCGTTCCGTTTCACTGAATCACCTGATATTTCGACATGGATTACAACAACAATTTGTAGATCAAGATCGTCATGTCACTTAATGTAAGATTGACATCATACCATGAATTTGTTTTTATATCTGAATCTCAAAGAGGGCGCTATTTACAAAATTGGCAAAATTGGTGAAGCAGCAAAATTAACACACCACCTTAAAAAATTGTCACTTTTAAGGTGGTCACGTTTACTGCGCGGTGGTCAGGAGTGTTTGCACTATCTCTAAATATTTTATTTGTTTATCTTGAAATGAAATGACTTATTTAGTAATTTTCTTTGTAAAATAAATTTTGAATTAAATTTTAAGAAATACGAGCACTGGTTTCCTTTACACTCTGTATACTGAAGTTTGAATGTGATGAGTATGGTACGGTTGTACTTAAAAAAATATGGGCTTTTAATTTTTCAGATAAAAATATGCCTTTTCTATTTAAAGAAATTATTGATAATGTCACATCTGCTAAGACAGTGTGGTAAAAGGTAAAAGTTAAAAAACAAAAATAAAAAATTGACCTGTCAGAACTTTAACTCTGAAAATAATTAACTTATGAGGTAATAGACCGTTTCCACACTTTATGAACACACTTTAATTAAGATAATTATAATCAATTACTAATATTACTCGTAGGTGCGTAGAGAAGTGCAACGAAGCACAACTTGTTTTGGTAATTTTCAGCATTTGCAAAAAGTATAATGAGTCAGGTCTAACGTTTTTTTAACGATATTAATTTGATTTTCATGAGACCAGTTACTTTGAAAAACAACTGGATAGTAATAAAACATTTTCACAAAATAAATAGATCGGCTCAATAGCTCAGAGGGTTAGTATACACATTTTGATGTGCGTGCTAGTTAGTTCATTGTTCAAACTAAAAGCTGCCCTGGCAAATAAAACTGAACGTAACAGGATGTATGACTTTAAATTAGAATAGGCGAGCAGATCGGTTTGTCTGATGAAGTAAGAGGTGATAACTTATGGTTTGGTCTCATTAATTTATTGATCCCTGTCGAAAGGCGTTATGAACCTAGAAAATCAGAATATGAATACAATAAATGATCAAAATAGGATCAGGCAGAAATGTCAAAATTTGCACAGGTATAAACGAGTAGTAAGAAACTAAGATTCATTTAATAGCTGGATAATGATGGAAAGGTTTTAAAATGCATGAAAATCTGCTAAACATGTGAGAAAACAGGATAGGTGTAATTGCTTGAAACTAAATTAAATATATTAAAAGATGCTCTTATACGCACATGTGAGACAACACTAACACCTAAGCTGATCAAGAACAAAAATGAATGGATGACCGATGAGATTCTGGATCTCATGGAAGCAAGAAGATCCTATAACACCAAAGACAAAAACATGTATAATATTATACACACAGAAATAAGGAGAAAGATCAGAGATGCAAAGGAAATATGGTATAGTGACAGATACGAAGAGATTGAACAGTTGGTGGAGAAACATGATAACTTAAACCTTCATAAAAAAATTAGGGAAATAACAGGCACTAATATTAAAAAAAATCATACTGCTGGATAAAAACGGCAAAATAATTATAGACGTCGGTGAAAGTCTTAAAAGACGGCAGGAATATATATGGACTCAGAATGGACTGAGATAGTACTAAAGCAGGAAAAGTTCGACAACGGCCCAGACATAACAGAAGATGAGGTATTAGAGGCGATAAAGCGAACAAAGAATAACAAGGCAACAGGTCCTGACGAAATACCTGTAGACATAATACGGTTAATAGAAGAACAGCAAATTGGAATATTGGTCGACTTATTTAATACAATGTACAGTACAGGAATCATTCCCAGAGAATGGCTGATATCAACATTCATAACACTACCAAAAAAACCAAATGCAAAAGAATGCCAAGACCACCGGATAATAAATTTAATGAGCCATACGCTCAAAATATTTTTAAAAATTATACACCGGAGAATACACAACAAACTTGAGCAGGACATAAGTGACACACAATTTGGATTTAATAATGCACTGGGAACGAGGGAAGCCCTGTTCGCTGTGAATGTACTTGTTCAAAGGTGCATGGATGTTAATCAGCCAGTATATATGTGTTTCTTGGATTACAACAAAGCCTTCGATAAGGTCAGACATAATCGTCTTATCGAATTACTTAAAAAGAAAAACTTAGATATGGGAGACATCAGGATCATTAGCGCTATCTATTATAATCAGATCGCTGTGATAAAAGAGAACAACGTCTTTTCAAATGAAATACAGATTGAGAGGGGCGTCAGGCAGGGCTGTATCCTGTCTCCTACTTTGTTTAATTTGTATCCAGAGGAAATAATCCAGGAAGCACTAGAAGAACTGCCTATGGGAATAAAAGTAAATGGCCGACCAATCAATAGTATATGGTTTGCCGACGACACTATTCTATTAGCGGAATGTCTTGAGAATTTACAACAAATGGTTGACAGAGTGGTAGAAGTCAGTGAAGAAAACGTACTGTCCCTAAACACAAAAAAGACACAATTTATGGTAATTACAAAAGCCCAACAGCACCAAGAAAACTTAACAATACATGGAGAACAAATTAAAAAAGTTGAAAAATATAAATATCTGGGTACTTAATAATTAATGAAAATAATGAGTACACAGAAGAGATTAAGGCAAGAATAGGACAGGCAAGAAATTCTTTTAACACACTGAAAAAAGGACTCTGCAGCAGGTACAAGATAAGACTTGTGAGATGCTACGTGCTCTCCGTATTATTTTATGGGTTGGTTTTAAAGAAATATGTTTCGGACAAACTGGAAGCCTTCGAGTTATGGGCCTACAGAAGGATATTAAGAATGTTAAGTTGGGTAGATAGAGTCACGAATGTCGAGGTGTTGAGAAAAATGGGTAAAGATGAAGAGGTCTTAAATACAGTTAAAGTCAGAAAACTGCAATATCTGGGACATGTTATGAGAGGCAAGCATTATAACTTGTTTCAATTAATATTGCAAAAAAGAATACATGGTAGAAGGAGTCGCGGAAGAAGACACATCTCCTGGTTGAATAATTTGAGAGCTTGGTTTAACTGCACTTCTACTGACCTCTTTAGAGCAGCGGCGTCAAAAGTGCGAATTGCCATGATGGTTGCCAACCTTCTTAGAGGAGATGGCACGTGAAGAAGAAGAAGAAGAAGAATTAAATTGAACTTGAATTTGAATTAAGTTAAGATTTTCTGTTACATCGTAAGGTTGCACGGTAAAGTTGTTCTTTCGTTGCATGTTTCTACGAACCCATAGATTACTTAAATGTTTAAAAGCTTACCTGGTACAATAGCGACAGTTTTGAGGGCTCGAAGTACCCTAAACGTTCTTAAGGCAGCTAGATTTCCGAGATCTATACCCATTGTAACATAACTGAAAACATAAAACATTTTAGGAAAGAATTACGCGAAGCAGTTTGCTAACTAGGAGGTCGCACTAAAAAGCTGCGGATAATTTAATAAACACATTGTACATATTACAACACATTTTACAATCATAATGCATATAAAAATTTTCACAATAGTGTAAATTTTGAAACTAATAGGAGCTACGTCAGGTACTATAAACAAATAATTTGTCTAGATCATAGGTAAAATAGTAAAAAACTAAACTATTTGCTAATGTTTTTGGTGGACTAAATTTTTGCTATATATATATATATATATATATTATATATATATTATATATATATATATATATATAATATATATATATATATATGTATAAATATACTAGGTTATCCAAAAGTACAAATTTGCTACCATTTGTATATTACGTATTTTGGTATTGTTCATTTATCATTTTATAAGTGTATAAATTTGAATCTATACCTCTTTGTGTAACACGCACCACACTACTTATGAATATTTGAAAGTGTTAAATGAACTATGTAAATGATATAAGTATATAAATAATTGTTGTTCTGCGACTGGATGTATAAGGGGTAGCTCTAAATTGAGTAGTAACTTTTCAGTGCTCTACACAGGACAAATTGAGTAAACAAAACGTTCCTTAAATATATCTGATTTGGTGCATTAACGCCAAATCAGATAGCCCACCAACTGCTTCTGAATAACAAAACAAACAATCGTTGCAAAACGCCAAATATTATAAGAACTCAAGACCAGGAAACAACTCTCTTATGAAACCCAGTTACCATCGAAGAGCTCAAAAATGGTATTAACTATATGAAAAATGAAAAATCACCTAAGGTAGATGAAATCCTAACAGAGCAGATAAAACATCTCGGGCAAAAAGCGGGACAATGGGTGTTCGATCTATTTAACATCTGTCGCTTTAACTACCAGATTCCAAAACTGTGGCGCAAATCAAAAGTAATAGCCCTTCCGAAACCTGGCAAAGACCCTGAACTACCGAGTAGCTACCGTCCGATATCTCTGCTATGCCATTTGTATAAATTGTATGAAAGCCTCATTTTAAACCGCATCCAGAAAACATTAGATGCAAAACTAATCCCACAACAAGCAGGCTTTAGACCAGGTAAATCATGCACAGGCCTAGTGCTGAACCTAACAGAATACATAGAGGAGGGATTTGAGCAGAAAGAGATAGTAGGAGTAGCCTTGATAGACCTCACAGCGGCCTATGATACGATAAACCACAGAACCTTGCTAACTAAGATCTATAACACTGTGCTTGACTATGACCTGGTAAATATTATTAGATTACTGTTATGTAATAGACGCTTCTACGTTGTGCTAAATGGAAAGAAAAGTAGATGGAGAACCCAAAAAAATGGCCTACCTCAAGGAAGCGTTCTGGCGCCGTCCTTATTTAACATCCACACCAACGACCAACCAATGCACCCTCAGACTGAGAGTTTTGTTTACGCTGACGACCTTGGTATAGCCGTAAAGGGAAAAACACTCACACAAGTAGAGTCGACAATGGAAGATGCTTTAAACATGATGTCAACTTACTACAAACAAAACTAACTAAAGCCAAACCCTAGTAAAACCCAAGTATGTGCATTCCATCTCAACAACCAGCTGGCGCTTGTAAAACTGAATGTTTCTTGGAAGGGACAACGCTTGCAACATACTGAGGGCCCAAATATCTTGGAGTGATACTAGACCGGTCACTAACGTATAAATTCCACTGTCAGAGCACAAGACAAAAGGTCTCTACGAGAAACCACCTTCTCCGGAAACTTGTAGGGAGCAAGTCGAGTGCAAACCCCCAAGTCTTGAAGTCAATAGCTGAGGCCTTATGTTTCTCAACAGGGGAATATGCTTGTCCCGTCTGGGTAGATCTAGAGACGCCCAACAAGTAACCACGGCGTTAAATGAAACATGTAGAATCATTACCGGTTGTATAAAGCCTACCCCTCTACACCTACTGTACCGGTTAGCTGGATTCGCATTACCAGATGACCGTAGATTTGCCTCACAATATGTGGAGAAGTTCAGGCAAACTTTCGATGAACGGCACCAATTATACGGGTTTGACGAACCGCCAGGAATCAGCCGACTTAAATCAAGGAACAGGTTTATAAGAAATGTCAGCGTCGAACCACCCGAAGTGTTCCCCCTACATCCAGAACGACCTAATGGAATGAACCTGGACTGGAGAACCTGGCGGACACTCAACCGCATGCGCACAGGTGTTGCCCCTGTAAAACAGAACCTCATTAAATGGGGCATCAAGACAGATAGCGCATCACTTTGTGAATGTGGGGAAATACAGAACGTGTAGCACCTGAGAGTATGCAGACGTTGCCCATCACAGTGCACCCTCGATTATTTATGGCTCGCAAATACAAAGGCTGTAGACTTAGCCCGATATTGGGCAGAAAAACTGTAGTCGGATCCAGACTCGAAAAAGTAAAAGTAAGTCCTTAAATATAGAAGATAATGGGACAGCTGTTACAAGTTATAACCAAATAAATACCATCACATGGTATTTATTTAATACATTTAAAAATAACATCACATTTTACCATTGCTAACACCTGGTTTAGACTTTTTTACGTAAAAGTTACCTAAAGATACAGCCAACAATATCATCAGCAACCAGATAGACTTTATTCTCATTAACAAAAGATTCAAGAACAGTTTGACTTCGACGAAGACATTCCCAGGAGAAGACGTCTCGTCGGACCACAACCCATTAGTGAGCCAGATACAATTCAAACTAAAGAAACTCATCAAAAGTAAATCTAAATAGAACCTGGATTATGACACTCTAAAAGACCCCGTAGTTCGTCAGAACATAAGAGATGTAATGAGAGAAAAACTAGAAACCGCTAAATAAGAACAGAGCGTAGAACAAAAATGGAGTTATATCAAAGACGTCATGCTAAATGCAGGAAAAGAACACCTGGGAAAGAAAACACGAGTAAAAAATAAAGAATGGATGACTGATGACATTCTACAGATGATGAACCAAAGAAGATTAATGAAAAACAGGGACGGGAAGAAATACCAAGAAATCAACCAAACAATTAAAAAAGAAATACGAAGAGCCCAGGAGACATGGATGCAAGAAAAATGTAAACTAATCACAAAGCTCCAAGTGAAACACGATCATATAAATATCAACTGAAATATTCGAGAAGCCACTGGACAATACAAGAGGAGAGACACACACCTTCTCATAAACAAAGACGGGAACCTGGCGACGACAGTTAAGAAGTTGGTGACCTAGAAAATGTACATCGAAGAACTTTTCTGTGACTACAGAGGACTACCGAGGAAACCCAGTCTAAGAATGGTAAGGCCACAGGTTCGGAAGAAATATCCGTGGAACGTATTAAGGTGATGAGTGAAGTGAGCACGAAAGAGTTAACTGAACTGTTTAACGCCATATACGATTCAGGTAATATCAGAGAGAAATGGCTATTGTCAACATTTGTAACAGAATAAAAAAAAACGATCTGCAAAAACGTGCGAAGATTTCCAAACTATCAGCCTTATAAGTCATGCACTTAAGATTTTTCTTAAAATCATACATGCCAGAATTTACAAGAAATGCAAAGAAAATGTTGGTGAAATGCAATTTGGATTCCGCAATTCCATGAGTACACGTGAAGCACTTTTCACCTTACAATTTCTACTTCATAGATTCCGCGATGTCAGTTGTGATGTCTATATTTGTTTTATTGACTACGCTAAGGCATTTGACCGTTGTCAGCACCAGAACATGGTCGCCGCACTACATAGAGTAGGATTGCATGAGAAGGACATTCGAATCATCATGAATTTATACTGGAACCAGCGTGCTCAAGTCAAGGTCGAAGACCAGCTGACCGACCAAGTAAAGATCATGCAAGGCGTAAGGAAAGACTGTGTGCTCTCGAAGACTCGTTTCAATATATACTCTGAGAAAATGTTCCTGAAGCCCTTACAAACCTAGAGATGGGAATCCGAGTGAACGGTGAATACATCAATAATATTAGCTACGTCGATGACACTGTACTACTAGCAACCAGCCTAAATGATCTACAAGACTTACTAGATCGAGTGAGAACTGTGAGCGTAACACACGGACTAGATCTTAATATTAAGAAAACTAAACTCATGGTTGTCAGCCGCGCAAATTTAGATACTAGAGCACTAATGGTAGGTAGCTAAGAGATCCAGAGAGTCGACAGATTCCCTTACTTCGGAACTACCTCAACTCACAATATGACTATGCTCAAGAAATTAAATCCAGAATTGAAATGGCACGGTCTACATGTATCAAGTTAAGATCCATGCTGTACTGCAGTGATCTCAGATTGGAAACCAAGATGCAGATAGTAAGATGCTACATTCTTTAAGTGTTACTATATAGAGTTGAAACCTGGACACTGACGCAAGTTACAGAAAAGCGGATTGATGCCTTCGAGATGTGGATCTACAGGAGGATACTAAAAATATCGTATGTGGACCATGTCACCAACGCTGAGGTTAAGGTTATTCTGATTTTGGATTCTGCTGATCTAAAAAGTTTTATATATGAGAATCTATACCATTTCTGTAGGTTGCTACAGCTTTCTGGTTTTGATTTTCAAATGCTTCCTGTTGTTTAATGTTCGCCACATTTAGAGCCCACGCCTTTATTTTATATAGTAGTGTTGAGAAAATAACATTTTGTCAACCTAATTCTTAAAATTAGCTTCAGATCTCTTGTACAAAGCACCATTCTCGATTTGTTAATGTTTCCTCTTCTTCTTCCTCTTTTAATCAATTTTGCTTGTTCATTGGTGGATTAATACCTGTATGAAAGATTGTCACTTCATATTTTGCCCGGTCCTCCGATACTTCTTCTTGTGCCTCTCTCTCCCAGTTGCTACACCCCAAATGGAGCCTTGGCGTCCTCCAAACTATGCCTTCAACCTTGTTGGTCCAGAGACGATCTTTTCCATGTTC